CATTGTTGAATAAAATCATCAATTATGTTATTTCCAGATGTCCAAGTGGTGAAAAGACTCTGTAATTGTAAACTAATGCAACCTTCACAGAACCTATCAGAGTATCTTGTCAATTTACATTTGTTACATTCTTTTGGTTTTTCGAATTTATATATTGCATTATTTAATTCAAAATTATAAATAAACTTTTCTTTACAAAATTCTTTTTCATTTTCAGAAAGCTCCTTGTTTTTCTTGACTAATGAAAAAAAATAATCTTTTCTAATTTCTTCATCAGAATTAACTGCTACATTATTAAACATTTCAGAATAAATTTTTATTACAAATTCCTGTCTTTCTAGTGATAACGATGATAATAGTTTAGTATTAGCAAGTGACATTATATAATTTAACTTGGTGTTTTTAGAGTGGAAATTATTTGAGAACAGCGGTTACATTATTTGTGGAATTGAATGACGTGTAACAACAATTTTCTCGTAATATTATTCGTACACTTACTTCCGGATAATAATGGTTTTTTGAGAGTTAAATAGTTTATTTGATTACCTTTAAATTTCTCTAACAAGATTAATTGATATATATATCTAAAAATGAAAATTGAACTATTTAAAGAACAACTTCACTTTACCAACTCTAGTAAATTTTAGCATTCTTTGTTTTCTATTTTAAATCTTCCAAATTAAAAACTTTACAAAATCTGTATCGAAACCTATCTTATGTACTATGTAAAAATACCAACATTGGTCAGCCTATGTTGCTTCAAAGTCAGATACTAAATGCAACTCAATCACTTTTTGTTTTATTAATAATACTTTACTATTACATGTCATATGTATGTAAAAGTTGCTCTACATACACTAATAATTGAACTGCATATGTGTATTTCAACTAAATACAATTCAAAACACGGTTTGATTTTATGAAATCAAACAAGAAATATTAGTAATAGTTTTAATTTGTAAAAAAAAAGACAGAAAAAATTTTTAATTAGTTAGACTCCACTTTCATTCTTCGACAGGTCGCTTAACAATTTAGAGTGACCAATATCTGATATCCAACAATCATTCGTCAATTAAAGATACGAAAGGATCATTACAGTATTAGTATTTGGGTGATAGTCCATTTTTGGTTTTTTTGATTTGACTAAACGAAAGTTCAAGTATAGTTGCATTTTATAAAATAATAAAACAACTCTATTTTGTAAAAGTTACAAAACTGTGAAAAAAATATTTTGTTACAGAACGTTTTAAACTTTTATGTTGATTTGATTGTTTTTGGCAATTTATTTTGTTATAAATGGAGAGAGAATTAATATTAAAAATATAAAATAAATAAAATCCTTAAAAATCACAAAAACAAAAAATATAACAAAAACGAAACCCCAACATGTACAAATTTAATAACATTTTTTTTCATCTTATTCGTCTTCTATGCTACGTTAATCGTTTAACTTTCAATTTCACGCAGTGATGTAAGAAAAAGTGCTCCCGGTAGCTTTACCCAATGTCTTGGCACCTACCTTATTGAGTTTACTGAGGCTACGTACACTCCAATAATATATGCATCCGGACAAATTACAACCGCACACTTCATAGGGACGAGCGCTATTAGAATTGAATCAAAAACCAACTTTATTGTGCGTGGCTTCCTTGGGGATTTATTGAAATTTCAACATATAGGCGATTATTCATCGAACCCAGAGAGTTGAAGTGTCCGGATCTTTAAACTTTATCTTCCCATGGTCGGTTGACTTTGAATCTGATCAATCTAAAGCCCAAAGTGTCGATTATTTCTTAAACATCACTGGCACTTTTAATTAATATTTACAAATTTTTTTTTATTTTATTATTTAGTTTTGGTCCAAGTGAACTCATGTCGTGTTTAGAAGGTGCAATTACTGGGCATACCCTTAAATCGCGATTGTTTCATTTTTATATGTAATTTTTATGTATGGCAAAGGTTTACGAATGAAAGATGAAAATAAATATATTTTTATTTTTATTCTATTAAGTAAAAATAATTAAATTCTTCACCAGATTCTAAATACAAATATGCGAGTGTACATATTATATATATATACTAAATATTTTTTTTTTTTTGACAATGATGATTTATGAATTTTTTGAAAAAATATTTTCCTTCTTTTTTAATAATATTATTATAATCACATTTTTTGAAAAATAATTATGCATTTAATAATGAGATATAAAAAATAATAATAATATGAATGCGTAATATATATATATATTAATGACCTTCGTTTTTTTAAAGAAAAATATGCTAGTTATGATGATTTCAATCTATTTTAAAAAATTTTTCTTGTTTAAGATTATAAAAAGGAAAATATATTTTATGCGAAAAAAAAAAAAGAAAAGGGAATTTAAATAATGATTAATATTAGTATTTAAAATAATAATAATAACAATAATAATAATATGATTAAAAGGTTTCATCTTCGTATTCGGCACCCTCTGTCTGAGCACCTTCAGGTGGAACTTCAAAACCATCCTAATAAAATACAAAACGTGTAAATTTGGATTTAAAAATTAAAAAAATTAAAATAAATTCATAAAATCTTCAAATAGTTCACCTCTGTGCTGTAAAGGATAGCTTGAATGTCTTTCATTAATTGATTATCAGGTTCAACGTCAATTTGTTGTTGAACCAAAATTTCTATATCTCTAAGTTTACCAAAATAAAAATCTCTTTCTTTTTCAAGACCGTCTACAGCACCCTTCAATTCAGAAACTTGTTTATTTAAGTCATTTAACATCGGAGAAGATTGTACGATATCGATTAATCCACCCCCGCCCATTGAACGACCTATCAATTAATTAAATTTATATTTATATTTACATTTACATTTAACTATGCAATATAATTTATTGACAAATACCAGCTGATGTTGAACTACTAGCAGCAGGTTTTTTAGGCATAGTTCTAGAAGAACCACCGCCTGCAACTGTTTTGATAGGACCTCCCGTACCAGGTCCTCGTCTGGCAACAGCATCATAGGATCCACCTGGATAATAAGTATCCCAATATTTCTTTACCCATTGCAAAAATTCAAGATTATCTTGGAATTTGCATTTAACAAGACGTTCAACTGGTATCATCTAATAATAAAGATTATAAGAGATCATCATCAATCATTATTATTATGACTTGTAATATTATTATTATTAGGAAATCATTAAATCTCCAGATCATTATAAATATTCCACTGATACAATAAACGCACACATGCAAATATTTTTATACAAAGATTTATATGTGTGTGTATTATATCTAATGATGAAAAAAAAAGAGTTTCAAAAAATCCTTTTCCCTTGCAGATCATATTATCCTATTGATTTAAAGACGAGAAAACTCTCCTTTTTTTAATAAAAATTTTTTTTACCTTATCAATTTTATGTTTATCGAAAGCTGTCTGTAATACTTTAAAATTTGCAACATATTCATACTCGTGTCTTGCGTTGAATTTAGTTTTACTCATTTGTACATCATCTTTTTTATTTAAAAACAGAAAGAAAAGAAAAAAAGTATGGTGAATAAATTGGTTTTTTAGTCAATTATATGTTAAGGATGCTTATAAATTATAACAATTATTATTATTATTCCTTACTATATATAGAATCGAATACTTGACAAAGAGCAGCACCTAAATAATTAATAAAATTAAAGTTTTAAATATAAAAAATATAAAACCAATTAATTAATTATAAAGCTTTCATTAATCAAAACATTATTAAAATAATGTTAATCTATAGAAAGCGAGACAAGCATTCTCCCATCAGTTGATTTATCTAACCTGTTCCACATTGTTCAACTTTTGTATAATTAATTTGTAACAAATCATTTAACCACGCGAGTAATTCTGTTCGTGATTCACCCATATTTTATTTTAATTTACTATATTTTGTATTTTTTTATTAAATAATATTTATCTAGTTGAGAGAAAGAGAGAAAGAGAGAGAGAGAGAGAAAAAGAAATTTTATTTAAAAAAAAAAAAAGGAAAGATTTTGTTCTACCAAAAAAGAAAAAAATTTTTTTTTAAAAAACATAAAGTATTTAACCAACCAAAAATATTTTGATAGTATTACAAAAATATTTCCGCAGTAACGCAATAGCTAACCATCGGATCTTTATTTTTGGACGCATATTATAATATTATATTGCATTAAACAAATCAAAAAATAATAAAAATAATAATAATAATTTAACAATCAATTAAATAATTCATCTAATATTCAAAGTTCAATTCAATTCAATTCAATTCAATTAATGTCAAGTAATAAATAAAAATAATTTGATGAAAGAAAATAAAAATTATTTATTTAATAATTAAAAATTTTTTTAAAAATCAAATTTTTTTTTTATTTTTGATAGAAAAAAAAAACAAAAATAAATACAATTTATTTTATATTATTAATTCAAATAATAATCCAATAATAAAATAATAATAATATCAATAATGATTTTTAACCGATTTTCTTTCTAAATGAGCAACCTAAGGAACCAATTATTTATGTAAATGTTTATTAATAAATATATATATATATATATATTCACAATTTCTATTTTTTTAATACCTTCAGTTAAACGGGCACGTCCACCAGTTGGTTGACATAAAACATTAGCACATGAGCCACATAAAACTACAGTTTGCGCATGACTAAATACTGTTGTAATACTAAAGCAACCTAATATTGATAATATAATCATTATTTATTTATTAACTAATCAATCAATCAATTTCTTAAAAAATAAAGTTGCAATGGCAAAATGCAATTGCTTACCTGGACATTTTACATCCATAAAATATGAATTTGGACTTTGAACCAATCTTTTAAGCTTATGTTTACGTTTCTCACGTTCAGGTGTAGGATTAAGAAGATCAATTTTTAACTATTATTTTAATAATAATTATTATCATCATTATACTCATCTGTTGGTAATTATGTTATTTACATTTATAATCACATATAAATATAAATTAATTATAATTTCAACTTACAACCATCCTTGCAAATTATCTCTTTATTTATTAATTATGTGTTGAGAAAAAGTACACTAAATGAACCGAGATTGAAAATTTTTTTTGAGAAACTAAAAAAAAAATTTTTTTTAAAATCAAAATTTTTTTATTATTATCAAATTAATCATAAGTCACATGACATTACACCAATGAATAAATTTTAATGTTTGCAAAAGTTTTTTTATAGGCAGATCGTCAATCAAATAATTCAAATTTTTTTTTTTTTTATAAAATTCAAGTTGTTATTCTCAAAATTATATTTTTGCTGGACCATTGAACATAAATAGTAGTATTATTAATTAATATATTATTATGATCGGCTAAGGAAAAAATGTCACTTTGTATGGTGCGGGACCCTCTTAAACCACCATTTACTGCGCCTCGTGGCCAAATTTCAAAAATGTGTCAAATTTTAAAATATTTTTTAAATCTACCTGTCACACAACATCAAGTTGCATATTTAATATATTTAATTAATACCTAAAGACAATTTATTGGAATGAATACTAAAAAATATTGACGTGTTAATGTTATACGATTTTTTAACTGACCAGAATTTTTAAAAAAGGATCTGTAGATGTCATAATTTCCCAAATTTAAGCGGCCAAATTCCTCGCGAACATAGTAAAATATACGTACGTATTAGTATGTACTGGGGAAAATTTTCAGATCACTAATAGATTTCTACGAAACACGAATTAAACGTGTCTTTTATATTTAATTCATTTAAATTAATTATTATAAACTTAATTATTATCTAGTAAATTAACACTAAAAAAGTTTATTTTATCATTTACTAAAATCTCAATCATGAAAACAATTATTATTCATTGAAATCGCAGACCATATTTCGTTACCGTCCCGGTTTATTAAAACATAACCATTCTTGAATTTGACAAACAAATCCTCTGAATAAAGAAATAATATTTATTAGAAAAATACATCTATAAAATTATATTGCAAAAAAAAAAATTGGGAATGTAATTTTTTTTGTCTTGAAAGAAAAATAATATTAAGGATTTTCAAGGTTCACTTATTTGACGTCAGCTACTCATTTTATTTGTAGCAAATAAAGATAATTTTGTTGAGGACAAAAAAAAATACTAAGAAAAAAACATCATATTACATTATTTTTACTATTAATATCGATAAAAATAAAATGAGGCTCCTGAGCCAATGGACAGATATGTTGTTGAAAGGAATCATATTCATTCAATAGATTTTTAATTCTATCTTATGTTGGAAGATGCAAAATTCAAATTGAAAGTCAACTTTAGCATGAATAGTGTCTAAAAACCTGAAATATTTGGTTATTTTGACCTCATGTATTTATATTCTTTGTCGTTGTATTATAATGGCCTATATAATATTCGAGTGAATATACTTTTTCTAATTTATATAATAATAGGATCATGTCAAATTTTCTTTTACGTTAGGACTCAAAGTTGCATCTGTTAGTGATCTCAAGTTCTAATTTTGCTTTAGAATACAATTTACTTTAAAAATTTGACATTATTGAGATCTTTAGAATCTAATGCTATATTAAAAATTATTACTAATACGAATACGATATCTATCTATCTATCTATTCTTTAATCTAACTTCACCTATGCAAGCACTAGTGTAAGTTCTAAACTCTTCTATTTGATCTCTTTGTTTGTCGAATGGGAAAATTGGGTTCTCAACAATGTAAAATAAAAATTGAAAAATGAGCGTAACAACTCTTATTGTGCCATTGGCAGTTATGATCTTCAGATACGGAGTAATTAAATCACTTCATTTTCCTGAAGGTTTGAAATTGGATTATGTAGCTTAAGTCGTTGTAATTAACTCAACTAGATGTCAAGTTCCTTTTCGGGTTTGTACGGTGGCTTCTTGTTGATAAATGAGAATGTAAACGATTGATTTGTTTTGATCGATATAATAACCAAACTAATTTAATTAGAACAATAATAATAAAAATAATGTGTTCATTAAGACATTTTTCATTGAGATACGCAAATTTGTTGATAAATCTATGAACTTTGTTTTGGATCTTTTTTTAAAAAAGAAATATTTGATGATAATCGCTATTTATGATTATTTATGATAATCATTATTTATTTATTGTCAGCTGGTTATAAATTTTATGCAATGAATTCTCAACGAAATCAAAATAAAATTGAGCCTAAACTTGTGCATTTGTTTCATGCAGGTAGAATAACAATTATTACAGTAGATAATGATAATTTCTTTAAAGCTTGCCAGCTAGAGGAAAGACACATTTAGCTCGTTCTTTACATCGTTATCTTAAATGGTTAGGCGTGCCAACTAAAGTTTTTAGTGTCGGAAACTATAGAAGAAAAGCTGTGGGAACAGCTTCCAAGTTTACCTCAGGATTTTTTCAATCCTAGTATGTTTTATCAAGGATTATTGCCATCTGTTATAAATATGTGTAATCAATGCTAATTTATTAATTGCTAAAATTATATATATTCATAAATATTTATACATATGTATGTGTGAAATATAGGGAATCAAGAATCAGCTGAAGCAAAACATAAAATTGCAACAGATTGTTTACAAGATTTGATTGGTTGGTTGGAAAAAGAAGGGCAGGTTGTAATTTATGATGCTAGTAATACGACAGAAGAAAGATGTAAAGAAATAAGTGACGTTCTAATCAGTCGTAATATACGTGATTTTTCATTGGTATTTTGGGTATACTTTATGGGATTTTTTTATATTAATATATATACACCACCCGGACAAAAGTTTGTGAACAATGTTTTTCATTAATTACGCAAAATGCTACATGATAAAAATATATAACATTTTAACATTAGATAGCCTAGGTTCTTATATATATAATTTGACGTTTCTTGTATTTCCAGTACTTTAAAAAAAAACGAAATACTTTTTTTTTGAAAAGATCTTCAATAAAATTGAAAAAACCCGACTAATATCTGATGGGCCACCCATCATTAGAAATACATGCCTCAATTCTTCTTGGCATGCTTTCAATGAGCTTTTCTAAAGTTTCGTAAGGTATTCTTCTTTCAATTCCGATTTATTTTTTGGATGCACTGCACGTTTTTTTGAAAAAACTTTTATCGATCACGATTTAGGTCTAGAAAACAACAAATAACAAAAAAATAAAACCTAGATGCGCTAAAGTATTGAAAATCGTATGTTTTATTTTCCAAACTATAGTTTTATATGATATAGTTTTAAATATTTTTATTATGTAAATTTTTGAAAAATACGAAAATATCGTAAACATTTTAAAATTTAATCAACTTGAGTTTTTTTTTAATTAATAAAGTAAACTTTATATGAAAACGAACAAGAACCTAGGCTATCTAATGTTAACATTTATGTGATTTTATTATGGTGCATTTTGCGTAATTAACGAAAAACATCGTTCGCAAACTTTTGTCCGGGTAGTGTGTGTATATATATATATATATATATATATTGAATTGATTGATTCTAGCCTCTTTTTATTGGTAATATGTTACTCGTATATATGATTTATAAAGAATCTTTTTTTTAATAATTATTTTTTTAATTTGTCATATTTTTTTTTTAATGTAATTGTAAATTTCAGTGTTGGTGCAAATTTACACAATGTTTTAAATAAATCGTAATTGATTAGTAGTAAAGTGCGGAGGTGTCCATTGAAGGCAATTTTCCTCAATCCTTCGATTATGATGTTTTTCTTTTGCCTTACGATAAGCAGTAATCAACCCATCAGTAAGGCAATAACTTGATTGAGCTTTATAAGGCTTGATTATATCAAGAGTCTGTAAAGTTTGTAAAACATCTGTAACAGCAATGCTGGTTCTTGTTGAAATATCTTCAATCGATATATCTTCATTATTTTCCTTTGCCTGTAGCAAAGCCTCAACGATTGCCTCTGTCCAATAAGATCGATAAGACAATAACCCAAGATCAGAAAGTGGCTTCTCTGGTGATCCTAATTTTCCTTCTTTTTTGGACAGCTCATATGAAAATGCAATCAACAATCTACCAAAACCTTTTCTTTGATGTTGTGGCAAGGTTAGAATACATGCAAGATTATATCCTTCAGTACTCTCCTTCTCTTTTGAAAAATAACCAATCATGTGGAAACCATATTCATCTTGTTGACACATAATATAAAATAGAAATGGGTCCACATCATAATAGAGGGTTTTATGATCAAGAAAAAGCTTAGATAAAAGGCATAGATTTCGACAGTAGGTCTTTTGTTTATTGCCATCAATCTCAAAAAATGATATGTCACCAAGTCTGTAAATTTCATTTCCAGGTGGATGTCTTACATTGCATTTCTGACAATGTCGACGAAGTTGACGTTCACTTATAAAATGGAATAAACAAAATTCGCAAATATAGACTATCGATGCCTCACTATACTCTTGTGGATAAGGTGAAAAATACCATGTCTCAACATCATATTCCCCGAAATGGATTCTCTCCAAATTTTTCACTCTAGAAATTTCTGAATGTGATTGAGTCATTGATCCAGAAAAACGAAGCCTTTCAATCTCTTTTTCTTTTGAAAATGCTTGATTTAATGAATTAACATTAATGGGCGTAAGATTATTATTATCCATTGATTCATACCCATCCATAGAAGGTTCAATCAATGGAGTAGATGGTGTAGGTGTGCCGCCCGGTGTGTGAACTTCTTCTAAAGTTGATATTTTTCTTTTTTGTCCTATTGTAGCTGAAACATTTCTATTTCCTTCTCTCAAAGGTGATCCTATTCTAGACGGTGTATCAACATCTTTAATATTATTTTTTGCTCGTTTTTTTGTCGGTCTTTCAACTTCTCTACTAAAGTCAACTCTGTCAATATTTATCCACTCATCTAACCTTTTATTAAACTCCATAAAATGTATATAATATTCTGTTTGTCCTGAGCCATTGGTACGGATTGATAAAATTTCAGCTTTACGATGTTCTTGCTCATCTTCAACTTTATCTTTTTTTACCTTTACAAATATTTTACAACCAACTATAAGTTCAGAGGAAGAGCCGTTGTTGCAAGGAGGTGTACCTGATCTAGGAGTACCCGGTCTAGGAGAAAGTGAAGCAGAAACTCTTGTACCCATATTCTAAAAAAAAATTATTGAAATTACTTATACATGTACATACACATACACATATATATATGTGACATAAAGTAATTATATATTTATTTATATTCACCTTTATTTTTGTTCTCGTTGTTGTTGTTGATGTATAAAATTCTCAATGAAAAAAAAGGAAAAATAATTATTATTTATATGAGAGAGATGTGTAACAAAAGAATTTATTTATTATAGGGATTACTAGCTATTTTAAATCCATCAATCACACGCAAACACTACACCAAAAAATATTAAAGATTTTCAATAACTGTCATCGAAAAGAAACTATATTAATATATTTCATCGCTATTTTTTATCAACAATGGCGGGTATGGTGTACTTTTAAGTACCTCCCTTTATTTTTATTTTTTTTGATAAGTGAAATCGTTAGATTTGAACTGAATGCTCTTAATGATTAATGTTTCATGTTATATCAGAGCTTGCCCCTGAAAATCGAGAACCCAATACTCTTCAAGGAACAGAAGCTCTTGAGGAAGACACTGACTTGACTCCTGAAGATTTGTTAGCTAGTTTATCAGAAAACTCGACTGGTTTGTACACTTGCATATTTAACATTTGCTTGTAAAATGTCACGAGAGATAATTCTCCAAAGATTTTGTGTAGAATGTGTGAAATTGAAAAAAAAAAACTTGTTGTTTTCTCAGCATTAATTAATTGTTTGAATGTGAATGCTTTTTACTAAAAAAAATTCTTGGATTTTCTATAGAAAATCAATTTCCAGATGTTCCACCTGATGACATGGAAGATGAAGAGATTTTAATGGATGAATCATTATCACCTCTTGAAAAAATTTTTCTGTATGTAAAAAGTGAGTTGGTATTCCACAGGTAAGCAAATAACTGTTTTACACATTATTTTTTGAAAATTGTTTTTTTAATAATTTGCTAATTGATACTGACAGATGAAAATCTTTTTAATTATTTATATATATGTGTGTATAATTATAATTATGATTATATTTATATAAATAATTAAAATGACAAATAATATTTTCTTCATGAGAGTGTTCATTGCAAGGGAACTTCCAACATTAATAAGAGATGTTGAAATCAGTGAGGCTGTAGAATATGTATTACCATTGATGAATTCTCTAGGAACCGATCCAGGTTTTGATTAATTGATTAATTGTTAGCTTATTTAACTTGTTTGCTTTCCAAATGTGTGCTTTTGGTCTCGATACCCTTGATTTCACACTTTACAGTTGTCAATTTTTCAATTTACTGTAAATTACTATATTTTTGTTAGAGGACCACGTTAAAGAAACTTTTGCTACTGAATTGGACGATATCATATGGTTTTATTATTCAGTAAGTATCTTCTTCATGAAATAATAATAATAGTGTCGTTATTGTTATTATTATTTATTTTTATTATTAAACAGCACTGTCCACTCAGGGAAGCCACAGACTGTTCACAAACTGACATAGCGATTAATTCAAGACCGTTGACTCCTCAAAGACCACAAACTCCCCAACAACGACCGCAAACGCCAATACAACAATATCACTCTCAACAGACATTGTCTCAGCCACCAACTCCAACCAACAATATTCCATACTTGTCACCTTCCGCTTTTACTCCTTTACTCCATGCTCTTCTTCTTGATCAAAACACGGCAATAGCACAAGCAGCTCAAAATGTAATTCTATCGCTTGTTGATCGGATATTAGAGGAACCTAGTGTCAATCCCAAAGAAAAAGAATTATTAGAAAAAGAAACATTAGAAGGTGTCGTTCTAGGCATTGGTAGATTAGATCAAGACAAAGCAAGAAAGGAAGAAACAAATGAATGGGAGCCTTATGGCGACGAACATGGCGCTGGTGCTATGTCTGGGGGAGAGGAAGAGGCGGAATTGGGAAGAATGACAATGATGTCTGTATGTAATTTTTTTTCTTTTAATTATGTCTACCATCATTATCATAATGATTTTTTATATTATCTTATGAATTTTATATATTCGCACACATATATATTATATAGTTAATATCTTCTTTGGCGCCTATTGTTGGACCAGAAAGATGTATTCGCTTATTTTTACCAGAGTTGGAAAAAATGATCGATGAGCAAGTATTTTATGTACGAAAGGTATGAATTATCGTCATCAGTATCATTATCATTTATTACCATTATTTTTATTTATTATAAATGATAACTTGAAAAGATAAAATCGTAACTATCAAATTTTTATTTGTGTAGGAAGCAGCCACGGCATTGGGAAGATTGTCAGGAGTACTGCCATTGGAGACCATTGAATCAAAATTGGTAAATATCAAATAAATTTATTTAATTTGAGTGGTTGGAAATATTATTGAGATTGTTGATATTCAGGGAAAAAAAATAAATAAATGATATCAAAAGTTACCCATATACGACCTTTTCTCAAACGATGCAATTTGGCATGTGCGCCGTTCGTGCTGCTTAGTCCTTCCTACGATATGTTCTCAGCTTCCCGATGAAATGAAATCTGAGCGTGCAGTAAATGGAATTAAAATTTTTGCAGAAGATGTAAGCAGAAGTGTAAGATCGGCTGCAGGGGAGATTATTGGTGAACTAATTGCGACATTTGATCCAAATGAAAAAGTACCCGAAAATCTGGTTCAACATTTCCTAAATTTAGGGCCTTTGAGAGAATCCAATGTCAATAATTATAATAATAATAACAATGACAACAACAACAATAATAATGTAGCTGGTGGAATCTATAGTGGTCTTGGTCAAAGGGATCCTGAAAGACCATATATTTGTGCATTTAATTTTCCTGGTATTTATTTCTTTATTGAAACAATGAAAATGGAATTTGTTATATGTATATATATCTTTTTTTAAAAAATCAATATTTTCTTTAATAATAGCTGTTGTTTTAACTTTGGGTGAAAGTCGTTGGGATGATTTTAAAGAAACATATTTCTCGTTAACACGGGACATGCAGGTCTGATTATTAAAAATAAAAATTATTTCTTTAATTGTTCTGACCATTGTTATGTAATTCTATTTATCTTTTTTTTTTTTTTTTGGATAGGTTAAGGTTAGAAGGACATTATCTTATTCACTTCATGAAATTGCAAAAGTGATTGGACCTAAAAAAACGGAAGAGGATTTATTACCAGTCTTTACTTACTATCTTGTTGATATGGATGAAGTTAAGTCTGGCGTTATGGAAAATTACGTTTCTTTTATTAGCTGCTTACCACAAACAGCTAGGGACGAGTGCTTACCTTCTTTATCTGGCATATGGGATAATTTAAAGCCGCAATGGCGTTTAAGAAATACAATTGCAAAGTATGAGTTATTTTTATTAATTGGTACTTGTATTATTTTTTATTTTATTTATTGATTTTCCTCTCTTGAATATTCAAAGGCAAATTCCCGCATTATGTCAGTTATTTGATGGCAGCAATATAATAAATTATTTATTACCACTGGCCATAAAGGCGGTTAAAGATGAAGTTGCCACTGTAAGGGAAACCACAGTTGCTTGTGTAAGTTTTATGATTAATATAATATAATATATATATTATATATATGCACTAAAAATTCCAATCCATAAATCAATATATATCTATCAACTTACCTGTTTATCAATTCATTTAATTATATTTCTAGTTTCCAGCTTTATTTGAAGCTGTTCATAATGATGATACATTATTTAAAGAAGCGATAAAACGTGTATGTGAATTTTCATCCGAGAATAAATTCAGATCAAGAGTAATGTAAGAAATTATTGATTAAATAATTATTATAATTGTAATTTCGTTTTATCATAGTATAATATAAAATTGTTTTTCCAGATTTCATTCAAAAAAAAAATTTTTATGTTAATTATTATTTTCAATATAATATAGATTTGTACAAATTTGTTATGCTCTAGTTTTATCAGGATTTCCCAAGTTAGATTTTGAAAGATATTTTCTTCCAATTCTAGAAAATTTTTCAGCGGATAGTGTTGTTAATGTTAGAATTACGCTAGTAAGAGTAATTAAAGAGTTATGCCAAACTGGTAAACTTTGATTTAATAATTAAAATTATTTTAGTAGTAATTATTTATTTCATTTATTAATTATATTATGTATGTATTTATTTTAATAAGAGCAATATTATCAGGATCCAATAAGTAGGCCACCACAAATCGTTGGTATGATTAATCGACTAGCGGAAGATCCTGATTTTGAAGTTCGTTCATTTTTATTTATGATTCTGTCACCCGAAGAAAGATTAAAGGTTATAACAACAATGCAGCAACAGCAACAGCAGCAGCAACAGCAACAGCAGCAGCAGCAACAGCAACAGCAACAGCAACAGCAGCAACAGCCAATAACAGACGTAACTATAGAAGGTTTATCAGAATCGGTCACAAATGAGGCCATGAACGAAGAGAATAATCTAGATTCACAAGGAATTGTTAATTTTACATCAATGATTCCAGAAGAAGATTTAAATGTTGTGGATAGTACAATTAATAATGATGGTAATGATAATGATAGAAATTACATTAATAATGATATTGAAGTCGATAATGACATTGAGGTTAATAATAATATTGAAGTTGATAATGACATTGAAATTAATAATATTGAGGTTGATAATGATATTGAGGTTGATAATGATGTTGATGTTAATGTTGATGTTGATGTCAATAACATTAATGTCGACACCAATAATAATGATATTTATAATATTAATAATAATGATGTTAACACCAATAATACTAGTAGTAGTAATAATATTATTAATATTAATATTAATATTAATAGCGAATCGTCATTAACAGTAGAAAATAATGGGTCTGCATCGGTTAGCACAATTATTGAAGAAGTTCCAATTTCATATATAAAAAATAATAATGTGATTGATATGGATAATAATAATAATATAACTTCTACTGGATCAACATCTCCAGCTTAAAATTCACCATAGGGAATTTTTGCTCTTTTTTTTTTATATATATAATATATATTTAATATATTTATATTTTTTAAAAATATTATTATTGAACAATTTCTAATAATTATTGGAATTGAATCAAAAAAAAGCAAGAAAAAGTCTCAATCAAAAATCTAGAAATTAATTTTTTTTATCATTGCAAAAATCATTTTACATATTTTATTAATAGTTTCCATTTTTATTTTATTTTTTATATTTTAGGTTTTTTTTCATATTATTATGCACATATACACATATCCGCGTTTTAATTATAAAAATTTTTTATTTAATAAAATTATTATTATTGGCGTCACTGTTTCCAGCATTATATACTTATCCTCCTGCTAATTTATATCAGTAAAAACTTTGTTTATTCATTTTTTAAAAATAAAACCAACATATTGTTTCAAAAATTGAACCAAATCGGTTTTGATCCCATTCGTATTCATCAATCTTGGCCTGATAACAACACATCACCAACGGATAAATATCAATTGTAGAGAAGACTACAGGAACTCTTGCGAACCTATCCGTGCCATCATCCAGAACTGGGATGTGTTAGTGGCCGGTCGTTCACAAAATAAATTCTAAGTTTTAACATCGTCAAAGATTCTATCAATAATTGGAGCCATTTTATGACGATGGTCCAATGTAAATGGATTTGGTTCTCGTTCTTTCGATCCTCGCTTGTTAAAAATCACAACTCTTACGTTATCATTCTATACATGCCGTTGACAAACCCTGGTGTTGTCATCGTTTTATATAATTGTCTGTGATTTAAAAAAAGTAAATTCTCATTTTATGAAACCCCCCTCGCGGACCTACTCATCATCCAAAAACATCGAATTCTATCTATCTCAAGCCATGGACGTTTATTATTTTGAAAAATCCAACTAACAAGGAATTGGATATTTCATCACATTATGCATAAATCATCACACACACGACAATCCAGCAAAACGACCTATCATTCATTACTTACAATCCTTTTAAATGCATACCCTGTCTGGACTTCATAATAATTAAAAAGATTCTTCATCTTGTTTTTTTTTTTAGTCACAACCATCATCATCGCTTGAAAATGAAGGGTATCCCAAAACATTCCACTGCGCATAAGAGATTGATTGTTATTTCAACAATGACATGAATTGATAAAAGCTCTAGAATTGTGGTTAACGACTCAGCCTAATGAGATGCCACCTATTGCAACTGGTCAACAACAAATAATTACATTATCTAGAAGATTCTTTGCAAAAACATTAATTATTATAACTACCATTTCTGTGTGTTTTATTAACCAGGTAGGTGTTTTCTTTGATGCAGTGTTGGGTTAAGAAATTCTCATTTAGAATGTGTTCGATTAAATCAAGCCTTACTGTAATCTTCTCCTTATAATATGAGTATATGATGATCATATTTCTATATATGTGTTCTTGATTGATTTTGTCCAATTCCAAATTCCAAATAGTAATAAGTAAAAACTATTAGTAGAAGTTTTTACCGGCTCATCAAAAATATAATTGTAAATAAAATAAAATCTGGTACAAAATTGGCATGATTATATGATGGTGATTTAACCATAGCTCAATGCTGTTTCTGATTACAAAACCTTTATCTTCTTCAAATAAACAATTGACTATTATTTTAGAGCTGTTAAGGAGTTACATGGATTTTCAATAAAATCAGAATATTGATAATATCATGCCATTATTTATTTTTTTTTTGTAAAGAAAAAAAAATTCTTTTAGTTGCAACTAAATGAAATCTTGATATTTTCTTAACAATTTTTCAAAATTATTAATATCTAGTGATCTTACAAATTTTATTGTAAAAGGTTTAGGACCTCTCCAATTCTTCATTAAATTATCAAAAGGATTGTCACTAATATCATAAATTTCATGATTAATAATCATTGACTTTAATTTTTTTGGTAACGTTTGATTTAAAATTGCTAAAATTCTATCAACATCTATTATTTCCTGAAAAATCGGAGAAAATTTTCTAAATTGAATACTTTCTAATTTAATACAATTATTGAATATTTCCATTAACTCCTGGTCTACTTCATCCTTATAAACTATTGATAAATCTACAAGATTTTTACATTGTGTAATTGATTGAAACAACTTTCTCAAAAATTCACTATCATTTGGAACAACACAAAGATCCAGATATTTAAGAGTTTTTCCATTGATGTTAATAAAATCAATCAATCCTAATGATTTTGATAACATTTGACAATGTATATATAACTTCATAGATTCAAGATTCGGCAGTGAAATATTTTTCAAATATTCTATTTTGGTATCAAAAACATGTGATATTAATAATAAAGTCTTCAAATTGTATAGAGTTGGTAATAATATATTATCTATATCATATTCACCACTGCTTGAATAATAAATTATTGATTGCGAATGTGAGAGTATTGCTTTTTTGAAATTATCTGAAAAAACATGATCAGCACTTGAAAGAATGGTTAATTTCTTTATTTGATTTTGTGCTCTGATTAGCCGAGCCAGACTATCTTCAAATTTATTGTTATTCTCACGAGAACCATAATATATGTTTAATGATTGAATAGATTTGCAAATATTTGCTAATTTATCAATAAATTCACTTCCAAAAGAACTATAACTGGTTAATTTATTCAAGTTCTGAAAACTATTATTGAATCTATGATAATTGTTTATCCAATAATAATCCCTATCAAAAGTACCAAAATTTCTGATAACTGCTGAATGATCTAAAATAAATTTTACTAATCTATTTTGCAAAATATTTAATTTAGAATTTTTTGTCAGCATTTGAATAGAATAATCATAATCATTGATAAGTTTAAAGCTAGCACAAAATCGAGCATAATTATGTAATGGTGGTTTCTCCAATAAGTCAAAAGTTAATTCAATACTATTTCTAGTTAAGAAATCCTTGTCTTCTTCCAATAGACAATTGATTATTATTTTAAAGCTGCTGCCATTAAAATAATTAAATGGATTTCTCCATAAAATTGGAATACTAATATAGTGCCATTGTTTATTGACAAGAATGCAAGAATACAATGTTTTGTAATTATCCTTATTGTATTTAAATATTTCACTTAAAAGCTCAAGTGGTAAAGTTGTTTTTGTAAACATTTAATTTTGTTTGTTGCACAAATTCACCAATTTCTATAGTTTATTTATTGTAAAAGGTTTGGGTCCTCCCCCCTCTTCAATTCTTCATTAGATTATCAAAAGAATTTTCACTAACATTAGAAATAATTATCGACTTTAATTTCTTTGGTGGTGTTTGATTTGAAACTGCCAAAATTCTACCGCCATATATTTTATTCCTAAAGTAAACAAGTAAGGGATACCAATGCCAAAAAAGAAAAAGATCAAGGGCGTTGTATATGACGAGTTTACATTTCACAGACAAACTTTTTTTTGAATGTCTCTAATCTTAAATTTCATTAAATTAATATTAAAGAAATACACGTCTTTTTTTTACAAGGAGGAGAGGGGACAAGCGACTATTATTATTATTATTATTATTATTATTATTATTATTATTATTATTATTATTATTATTATTATTATTATTATTATTACTATTGTTGTCATTGATGTTGTTATTTATAATGATTGCAGTCAATTGCTGCCTTTTATACTCTTCTAAGACTGCTTTAAAGATCTTCCCTATCCACGAAGCGTCTCAGTTCATCGCAACATGCATCTGACCTTCCGCAATCATGTATTCATCAACATTTAACGTTATGCGTGGTAAGGTTAAACCTTGGGTCTCGTGAACTCTCAAAGCGAATGCGTTTTGGTGAGGAAATTGTCACCTCGATGCACTTTTTGCCATCAACTTCAAAATGGCAAGTTTCCTTTTATACAATTATTTTGCTTATATTTTTCAGGGTTGGAAACGTCACTTTGACACTTTCGTCATTTATCTCACCAATGGTTCCATTGCATGTATTCTCGTTAAGCAATTTGTTGTTCAAGAACATCACGCGAGAGTCTTCTTGCAAGTATATCTGTGGAACTGTAACTCAAAATGTGACAGAAGGCAGTAAAAATTGAAGTCTTTTTTTTCAATTTTCAATAATAATGAAAAAACGAGATAATAGAGAAAAAGAAGAAGACGATAAAGAAGACGGCGGTGATATTTTGATAGTTATAAAATAATAAAATAGTAATATAGGTATTTTGGAACAAATAAAGGTATCCTAAACAATAATAATTATTAATATTAAAGAGTTAAAAGTTAGTTGAGACGACAGATTTTTCCTTTTAATTTATATTATATGTAAATTGGTATCGTCCTTTAAAAGCCACAATAGCACAAGTATTTTAAATATCGACATGCTACCGCTACATGAAGATGTTTTTTTCCTATTAATCGAAATGGTAATAAGATCAATTTAGTATGCTGGATGTTGGGTGAGTTTAAATAAAATTTTCTCCTTTTAATTAATTAATTATTACAAAGTTGTAGAAGTGGCACATGGACATTGGATTGCTAATTTTTTGGCTTCAAATGAATTTTAGACGTAACAATGTAAATTTTTTGCAGGGAAATATAATCATTGACTTTATAACGGTCAAATACTCTGTTAATAAATAGGCAATGGCAATTTGGTTTGTGCCTTTATTAGTTTCCATCGAAGCATCCTTTTTCTAGTTTGTCTAAAAAGCCTCATTTCTTCTGGATTAAGTATTGAATCAAACACATTGATCATGTGTTTATGAGATTTATGTAATCTTACTTAAAAATGGTTGGTCAAAAGCTATATATAGGTTACTGAAGCCTTGGACTTTATTATGGAAAACACATTTTCATTTTATAAATGTAATTGTAACGAATCCTGAAAATTTCTAATTAAAAAAATAAACTTATAAAGAATATCTTGTTCAGACATTCCAACTAATGTACAAATTTTTTAAAAAAACATTACAATGTATCAGGTCATTAGGATGAAAATAGTATTGCTAAAGTTTCTTTTGACCTTATGCTTTGTGGGGTTGAAAATTCTAAATATTCATTTAGTTATCTTGACTTAGCTCCCATGAATATGATAATTATATGGAGAAGGTTACGGAAAGTATTAAAGATCGTATGTGCGCACAATTGATTATAGATAAATTGCAAGAAAATTTTAAAATGAAAATTTGGTAATTACGTTGATTTATCGCTATGTGGAGCATACTGCAACAAAACCAGTCAAAATGAACATTATGTCACAAAAAAAGTTCAAAATTTCTTAACAGCTTTACCCGAGTTTCATAATAGCTTCTTAATTATTCAATATCCCAAGAGCGTAGATTAGGTAAATACTAATGTTGTTTGACGAAATGTTACCAAGGTTGAAAACTATTACGTCAAATTCGTTGCAAGTAAAAACCTTGACGCAAGTAAAAACCCTTGATGTAAGTAAAATTGCTTTAAAGGTCTATAAAATATAAAAGTTCATATAAATAGATATTTCAAGGTCTTCGATCTCCATTGTTTCATCAGCTGTTCCCAAGGAACTAAATTTTTTTTTTTGCTGAATATTAATTCAGTTCCCACATACTCATTTACTACCACACTCGAACATTCCCTACATTAATATTGATATTAATAGCGTACATGATTGAGGTAAATCATTTCAACTAATTTTAAAATAATTATACTTTAAAGACTATTATCGAATGAAAACTTTACGCAAAAGCTTTTTATAATTATTGTCAAAATTACTATTACTGTGTAAATCATTATGGAAATTTTCAAGTTACTATGGTTAACGAAATTTCATTACTTGAATGGTAATTATTTTTATTAAATAAAATTAATAATAAAACATTGTCTTTTATTTTCTTTAATGTAGTTGGTTAGTACCTTGGTAAAAGGTAACAATTGTGGTAAAAAGTCACGTTTTATTTGCTTTAGTAAGCAAGGAAGGATAAGGACTATCGTGGTTAACTAGTAAGTACTAATGAAGTATCGTCCAAAGGTTAATTGGAAATACTGGTAGTATTATTGTAATCGTAAGCTTAAGGCTGCTAAAACAAGCTACTTAAATTATTTTGAAAATAAATCAAGGCGAGTTTGCAAATGTAAACGCTGAGATAAATCTATTAAAAAGTGATAAAAGGAAGCTCAAGAGCTCTGTAAGGGGCTATCTTTATTTAAGTTATCTGGTACTATTAAGTGTACTTA